TGACCCAAAATCCTACACATCCCAGTTCACCATTGGTGTCTACACACGATGCTCTCCCAAAACCGATGGTGACACCGTTAAGCCAAGTTTGACATGTGTTTAATTAATGTTTAGGTGAGAATCTGTAAGTTATGCCAAAGATCGAGAATTTGTTTTCTCTGCATTTTTGTGTCCCAAAATAGATTTAGACATCAATTTTCTTTTTTAAATAACAAGTTTGCCAAATGATTGATTAGTCAAGTTAAGGGTAAATAGTCATGACAAAAAATTTTGTCTTACATGAAAATCAGATTAAATAATAATGAGAATGTTATCGTTATGTTTGTCTAAATTCAAATTTTTTCCTGTAGATCTTGTATGATCGAATGTAACATAAAAAACTTTCGTGGCACCAGTAATAGCAAATATGGAAAGAGTACAAATATTCATACATTGTTAAAATTTGTCAAAAATATTAATAGATGACGATGTCACGGGCATTTCCAAAAATAAAACATAACTACATCATAAACTTCATGATCAAGACACTGCAAAGGTCAAAGCTTTGAAATCTTCATTTATGACGCATGAGGCTTCTCAACTGAAACACACGCGAAGCCAAAACATTCTAAATGAAAGTACGCGTAATAATATGAGAACATTCCAAGCCAAGCATTCTTTTAATCATGCTTACGAAAAAACTAAACTATTTTGATCAAAACATAGCATGGCAGTGTTGGTATTGGACATATGTCCAGAAATTCTGGCATAAATATTTTAGTTTATAACTAATTTTCACCTGTGGTTATGTCACCTGGTATTATAAAATTTTTATTCAAATTAAATACCTTTAAGGTTAGAGGTTAAGGTTAACCTTAGGTTAAGGTAAGAAGACTTGTTTACACGTAAAATTTGATGCTGAAAAGTCGAAGCATAATTTTTTCATAATAAAATTTTGAGTTATTAAAGCTTCTGCTTAAAAGTTGAAGCATAGTTTTTTCATAATAAAATTTTGAGTTATTAAAGTTTTTGACTTTTTTCTTAATTCTTCGCTTTGTCTTAGTTACACGAGATCTGGCGCTACATACAACTGGACATCACTCTAGGGAAAGTTAGCAATAGTCAATATTTTATATGCCCAATTGTTCAATAAATGTACTTTTATATGACCAATTGCAAACGCTGAGTATAGGATTCTGGCCTATATGCTCATATACGTACAAACGTAAGTCAGATGCATTCTTTAGAGTTTAAGCTAGTTAACTACAGTATAAATACATTTTGAATAATTGATATAGATCAGCCAATTATAATGCATCCACGAGCTTAATAATAATAAAATAATGCATTTATCTTCTAAGTCTGTTAGTTCCAAAATTATTTTAACAATAACTTTAATGTGTGTTTAAATCTGATGATACTTTTATTGTCATTTTCATTAGTAAGTTGTTATGTTTCGAAAGGTACTTTAAAGTGTATAAATAGGATTCATATTTATCTTCTAATAAATAACCATTTGTCATAAGATTGTCTGGTGAAACTCATAAGTACGTACGTACGTACGTACCAGATCATTCCGCTAGTATAGATCAACTTTATTTATATAATCACATTATTAATTAAATTATTTCTTATGAATTATTTTATATTGTTAGATTTTTGTTAACTAAAATGTTTCTGCAAAAATGTAACAAACTTGAAAATTTAAGAATTTATGAAATTATTACTAGAGAGACAATTAAAGTCCTTAATATAAAAGCTAATCTAACTTCTCTAAAACTTGAATACAATAACTTTAATTCTGAAAAAATGACAAATTATTTGTGGATATTCTATATACAAATATAAATTTAATCTCATTATTAATAATATACTTATTTATAAAAATGTGAAAATTGTTAGAAACACTTATTAAAAATCAACTTGGTTCTAAAGTAGAGAACTATGGCAAAACTTTTTTGTAATAATTACTTTTTGACATTTTTGAATTTTGCTTGCAATCAACTTGGTTTTAAAGGTGGAAAGCATTAGCAAAAGTTTATAAAATTACACTTTAACAATTTTGAATTTTATCAGCTTGAATACTTGAATTAGCAAATGCTTCTTATAGAAAAAATATTTTGACTTTCTTGAACATTTGAGGTAATGAATTTAACCATGTAGGTGCAAAAGAATTGGCTAAGGCTCTTTACACAAGTAATACTATAACTTTTTGAACTTGATTGTAATAAACTTTGCTCTGAAAGAGTAAAAAATCGGTAAAGACTCTTTACAGGAATAATACTTTGACTTCTTTGGATCTTCTTGTCAAAAATTGACCATGAAAACACAAAATAAATAATTGAGCTTCTTTATATAGATAATACTTTAGCTTCTTTGAATCTTACTGATAATAATTAGATCTAAAAAGCAAAATTTTTGCAAAAGCTCTTTGCAAAAACATTAATTTGACCTATTTGAATCTCAGCTTTAATAAAATTGATTTTGAAGAAGAATATGCATTATTAGATTTGCTAAATATCAATATCACTCTATTGGTTTAATTCTCAAAGAATTCATTTTTGATCAGTTTATTCATTATTATGAACTTTGTTGTAACAAGATTGTTTAAAAAGAAATAACATAAGTTGGCAACAGAGTTATTAATGAAACATCTTGTCAGTATTTTCTGACTCATAATCTTGAAACCCTTTTTCTATCTAAAAATTAACATGTATTAATTGGAAAACTACATAGATCGGTTTGTATTAGATATAAATTTTTTAAAAAATAAAATAGTACAGAATGAGATTTAGGCTAAATATTAAATTCATATGTGTATATTATTTACAAACATCGGTTAATTAATAATGTTTTCCACCAATTAAAATTCAATTCCTAACACATTGCTAATACATTTTGACTCTTCATAACCTTAAATATTGAGATGTAATGATAATTCTTCATATTTTTATTAATAATAATTAAGTCGATTTTTTAAAAAAAAAAAACGATCATCAATCTCGTATCTTATTATATTAACAATTTTTTAGACGATGATTGTACTGATTTTGCTGATATAAAGTTAAACTCCAGGTAACTCTTAGTAATATGAAATCAACAGCAATAGGTGAAAAGTTAGCCAAATTGGTGACTAAATCAATGTGTTTATTTGATATTCTTTAACAAATATATTTTTTACATTTATAAAAATAGCAGGATATACCTAACGAATTTCAGATTGAAAAATAGTTATGAATTTATGTACATTGATAGTATAAGAATGATGAGATGTGAAGATATCAGGAAGGATATTGATACGATCTGTTTTTATTTTTCATTGTTTATTTAAATTAATGATTAATAAAGTCGGATTTATTTATTTCTTTATTTAAATTAATGATTAATAAAGTCGGATTTATTTATTTCTTTATTTAAATTAATGATTAATAAAGTCGGATTTATTTATTTATTGAAATATAAAAGATAAAACATGGTTTACATTTATATACATAAATTCACACAAAGGTTCTACTTTAAACATGATCAAAATTTCTCATAATGAAATTATTAAAAAATCACAAGCATAAAATAATACACAAATAAGCAATATAAAAAGAAATTTTAATCTCATCAAGCCAAATATTTATGTAATATTTTCTTTTTGCATGTTAATTAAATCTTGAACTGATATAAATAATCATAGTACGGTTTGTTTTCAGCAATAGCATCATAGACAATTTGTGGATATTCAGTTTCAGGATCATATTTATTAGTAAACTTATTAAAGCCTGTACTATTTTCCGCATTACTAGTGAAGATTTATTTATGTTAGTAATTAATCAAAATTGATAATTTAATTTATATTTTTCAAATAAAATATATTTACTGGGCCATAAGTTTGGTAGCAATGGAGGTATTTTGGCTTCCGCTCCACTCATTAACAGTTGTTGCCTCCCAATGAATCATTTCTTCTTTATATTCCTCTCCAATTAACTCGCAATATTTCTTCAAAACTCTTTCTGGA